GAACTTGAAAAACAGACCCAATTTTCATTCTGTTCATTAAATTCAAAATTTAAAACAATATTCACATTACTTAACAGAAAAAAATACTCTGTTACAGAAATAGGTAATCATTTCTTTACTGGCAGCAACTCATTTTCAATTTTAATTAAACTAAAGAGAACAGATCTTCCAAGTATGGATTAAATAGGGTAATTCTCTATTACTTGACTTCTCAAGAGACTCAGTTGAGTTTATCACTATATTTTTCTCCATACCAATGCTATTTTCACACAGATCTTTCTGACACAAATGTGGTGCTGATTACTAACCAAGCCTCATCCCCATTTCCTCACTCTGAGTTAAAGGAAGTCCAGATAAGATGCATTCCTACTTTGATCAATATAAATAGCAGAAATAGCTTTCCAGTAACTCAGTATTTTCTAGAGATATTTGTCAATGGGAAAGGAAAATTAAAGTGTTATATGATAAGCAGTTTAGTTCAGAGCTTTAGATTTATGCTCTTAAATCTATGAATAAGGCATTTGTCTTGATTGCACCCATTAGAGCAGAAACAGAGTTTGACTAACATTAAGAGTATACTCCTTGGAGCTATCAATTGACTTCATCTCTAAGACAAAGGATAATTATTTATTCATACCTACTCTGACTAAAAGCTAATAAGCTATATTAGGAAAAATGGAGGACATCTGCAATGAAAACTGCATATTGAAAATGCCTAACAGTAGCATCCTTTCATCAGATTACAATGATAACAGGGCTTTTTGGTGGTGGGGATGGGAGTGGTTGGTTGATGCTTTTGAGTTTTTGTGCTATTCCTGGGACTTGAATTCAGGTCCTGGGTGCTGTCCTTCAGCTATTCCACCACTGGAGCCACAGCTCTACTTCCAGCATTTTGGTGTATATCTGAAGACAAAGGGCTTTTAGATGGGCTGGGAATGTGGCTTAGTGGTAGAGTGCTGGCCTAGCATGCATGAAGCCCTGAGTTTGATTGCTCAGTACCACGTAAAGAGAAAAAGCCAGAAATGGTGCTGTGGCTCAAGTGGTAGAGTGCTATACTTCAGCAAAAGCAGCTCAGGAACAGTACCCAGGCCCTGAGTTCAAGCCCCAGGACTGGGGGAAAAAAAAAAAGTCTTCTTATAGACTTACCTGCCCACACTGGCTTCTAAGTAGGATCCTTTGATCTCAGCTTCCTGAATAGCTAGGATTACAAGGATGAGCTACCAGTGCCTGGCTTCTTTGGTTTTTGAACTAAGTCAAGGTTCTTGTGAATGTTGGACAAATACAGAATTTTGGGGTTTTTTTTTGTGTGTGTGTCTGTTTAAGTTTAAGCAAGTTATTTTAGTTTTATAGGGCTAAAGTAGGGAGAAACAGAAAAACATATTCTACTCCACAGTAAGGAACTGAGAGTTAAAGAACCAAAATGGCTGATGGGAGAGTTTAATAGTCCTTTCTAATACTTTTGTTTAATCTTTAAGGATTCATAACATTTAATGAGTGCCGCAAAATTTCACTAATAATGAGTTAACAACTACCCTCAAAGAAAAGTGATGTGTAAGGTTTTTTGGTGGGGGAAGTTTTTTGCAATTACTGACTGAGTTATGAGGATCAGAGAAGAAGAGACAGAATTTGTAAAAACCATGTTATAAAAGATCAAAGAAGTGACATTTTAAAGCCATTTCATTACATTTCAAAACATGCAAAGTGATCTTCAAATATATGCATAGTAACATAATTATACACTATGACACAATTTGAGTTAATCCTCAGAAGATTCAAGATGAAATCTCATCACTCTTCAACTGGCTACATCAGAACTGAACCCACTCCCTTCTCCTTATGAAGAACACCAGTCCCCAGATGCATTATCAGCTGCTGAAGCTTAAGGAAACCAGAGTTGTGAAGAGGCTCTAACATCATTTCCCATTCCACTGCTAATGGAACACAGCTTTATCTAACCAAGAGACAGAACACACACTTCCTCTTCTCTCCTGGGAGGACAGCAATGCATTTCAGAATGCATCCTGACTTCTTCCCAGCACCAACCACAGACTGAATAAGAAATTATAAGTATGAATACACACAGAACTTCAATGAGTCCCACAGATCACATGAACATAAATCCAAGTAAACAGTATTTCTGCTAGTCTACTACCCAAACACCAATCAGCACAATGAGCACTTAAAAGGCTTCTGAGATATGAATGCTGGCAAACTTTAAGTCTCACTTATTTTCTCAGTCCATTTCCCTACTCTCTATGCTCTATCTCCCAGCTCACCATGTGGAGCTTCCTATCTAGATGAAGTTTTTTAACAAAATGCAGGTATATCTCAGTCCAGGAAGGATCATCAACTACATACATAGCATGAATTGTTAATTTCTACATTAGCCATCTGTTCTGGAAAATGTGAAAGAGAATTGTCCTGGTGACAGGGAAAGGGCGCCACCCCTGCAAAGCGCCCAGCTGTCTCTGAGAAAACTATCCCTTAGGCTAAAATCTAGATGCACTACAGTTACTGATATAAGCTTAGACAAGAGCATACAAGCAGGAAAATAGCCACAGTAAGAAAAGAGTAACATGTGTCTGCCCACTACTGACTGGACCACAGCCTATTTTGATGATTGCTGTCATGGTTTACTAAAAGATTGACAGGTAGCAAAATCAAGGTTAAAAATAGCATAATCCAGAGGCAGACCAAAAAAAAAAAAAAAAAACCAGTCCAAAAGAGTAAATATATTCACTCACAGCATTGTGCACAATGCCTTTCTTGCTTCCAAATGAAAAGTGAAATGTGGTTTTTTTCGGTATGTAATCTTATAACACTAATACATTAATATACTGATTAAGATCTATTCTTTAACTCTTACTGTATGATAACTGAGAATGTTAGCAACTTATAGCACTACAATCAATCCCACAAAGTTTATAAACTTTGTAGTCCTTCATACTCATTAATCTCAAAATCTTCATTTTGCAACAAGTATACACAGCAGCTAAAAATTAATGAGCATGTATGTGCCAAGTATTGATCTTTACTTTTGCTATCAGAGTTAAATGTAATTATTTTGCCTCTGATCTTTCTCTCCCATTAACCTGGAGACTGTACAACACTGGGACTTTATCTTATTCCTTATGTCAAACCCAACAGTAGTAGGCATTGATTGAATATTTCCTGAATAAATTTGGCTTTTAATGTTTCAAACTTTACTGTTAGTCATGACTTAGGGACATTATAAAAATGCAGCAGAACAGAAAACAGAGGGTATTATTGAAATTTTTCTAGTTTTCATGATGTATCTCACATAAAATCGGTTTTTTTCATTACTGGATGAACATTGAGCTACATCCACAGTCTTGACTTTTCTTATGATAGGTAACAATATTCACAAATCTGAAAATTACTGGTTTGTGTACCGTACTCATTTGTTTCTCATAATATCCCGGAAGGTAATACCACAATTTCCATATATCAAGAATTGAGATTTCTAAAGGATACATGTATTGTTGGAGATAGCAAAGCTTAAATATAGACATCACTTCTCCAAGTTAATTACTCATAAAGAGTACTAACCAAAGAAAATTTGAAATAAAATAATAGCTTTTGCTTGATTAATGGAAGGAAAAGATGGGCTTTGAAAGGCTGGCATGAATTTAATACCTGACTCTCCCCTAACCAGTTGTGTGGGCTTTGGCCTATAACTCAACCACTCTGAGCTTTAGCCTAAAATAGGGATATTCATAACATGGCGGCAATTTGCAAATGATCCACTGTATGTAAAAAGTCTATACCAATCAATAGAAATATCTGTGTCTCAAATATTACTCGTGTTTTGCTCCTGGTCTTGTAAGTCACATTGGACTCAGTACACCATAATTTGAACGTACAACAAGTGGGAATCGGGAATTCATTGTATTTAACAGCAAAGCGTGAAACAAGACAAAACTGGGATTGGGCCGTCCAAGAAATCTCTGCTAGCACTTGTTGAGGAAGTCAAGATCAGGACCCAAGTCAAGATCAGGGAGCCCTGCCGGTCCAGGGAACGCAAGAGAATCCAGCGCAGCTTAGCCCTGACAGACAAATTCAAACGGTGTGAGGCACATTCGTCTCCTTCCCCGGCAGCGCGGCTGCAGCCCGGAGGAGGTGCTGGGCAAGACACCTATCTGCTCCCGCCCACGGCGGCTCTGGGACCCAGGAGCTCGGCTCTGAGGTCCGGAGCAACTCACCCCGGAGACTCCGCTGGTACTGACTCAGACTCTCCTCCAGGGTAGAGTTCCCTGGGGGCTTCTCCATGGACCCAGAGGTGCGAGTCAGGCGGGGGACAGTCCAGTACACTCCCCTGGGACGACAGGCCTAGTACCAGGGGACGCCTGCCAGCTCCGAACCGCTCCTGTCACCAAGGGGCCTGGAGTCCGGGACCCAGCTCTGGGGCTCTCCCTAACCACTGGCCCTCGAGGTGCACGTCGGGAGTTGTAGTCCACAGGCCCGAAGCCCTCAGCCTCGAGGATCCTCGAAGCCTTCCTACTACACTACCACTCCCAGAAGGCTGAGCGCCCCGGTCCCCGCACGGGCGTTCGGTCGCGGAAGCGTGTTGCTAGGAGACAGGCTTGGAGGCCGCGCCAATTCCCTTCAGCCCAGCCTCGGCTAGTCCCGCCTTTCCTCCCGGCCTCCTCAAGTGCGGACCACCCGGGTGACGGACGGGGATCGTCTGAGGGATTGGGCGCTTCCGAGTGTGCGGCCACGCAGCTGACCCCGGAGGCCTCTCAAGGACGCACATCACCAGCGCAGGAGCCCTATTCTAGTTGCGACATCTGTCCAAACAGCCAGATCCTCCTGAACAAGGATTTGTCGATGCTCCCCTCAGCCCGGCCGTGAAGGCGGCCGGCACCGCAGTCGTCGCGAGCCCCGCCACCCCACCTCCACTGGGAGCTGCAGCTGCGCGCGGCCCGCCGGAAGCCGCGGTCCTCGCTCGGCGGCCCGGACTTAGGCCCGGCCCGGGCCTTATTGTTCGAGCCAGCCTTGAGGGCACGCGTGCGCAGTGGGCAGCGGAGGAGCGCGGGGCCGAGACCCTCGGCGAAGCCCCCTTCCATTGTCTGGGCCCGGCGCCTGCGCACTGGGCACCGCTGGGCCCGGGCAGGCGGAGGGAGCGGGCCTGGCTCCTCGCCCTTTCCCCGGCGCCTGCGCACTGCGCGGCCGCTCGCTGCCGTTACCGCTATGTGTGGGGCGTGTGTGGAATAACGTTATTGCCCAGCGGAGCCACAGGCCCCGGAGCCCGGCCGCGGCGATAGCGGCGACGCCGCCGACGACGCCGGGGTGGGCGGAGGACGGCGCGCCAGCGACTCACGGGACGCGACGCGCCCCGCCTCCCCGTCCGGTCCCTCTCCACGGCGAGGGGTAAGTGATGCGCCCGGGGGCTCCCGGCGGCGCCCGCCGCTGCCCCTCGTCCTCCTCCTCCGGGATGGCGGCGGCGGCGGGGTCGGGGGGCGCGGCCCGGCGGCCCAGGGCGGCTTCCCGGACGCGCCGCGCGGTCCCGACCCCAGGGCCCCCCGGCCGGGCCCGGCGGGCCGCGCTCCCTCCCCCCCCCCCCGCCCGTCCCCCAGCCCGCCCCGGGGTCCGCTCCGGACGCCCCGCGCTCGGGGCGGGGCGGGGCCCGGCTTTGTGCAGCGCCCCCCCCCCCCCGCGCCGTGGCCGTGTGTGCGGGGCGCGGGCGCAGCGCCGCGGGGAGTGGCTGCGCTCGGCCGCTGGGGAGGGGATTTCTCCGCGAGGACGGCCGCGGCGCGCCCGGCCCTTTTGTATGGTTGGCGTCGGGGCCCGGACGCTGGGCGGGCGTGGGGGGGGGGGTGCGTGGAGGACGCGGTGTCACGCACCCCACCGGGAGGATGTGCCCCGCGTGGGCTGCGGCTCGGTCTTCCTGTCGGCTGCATTGTCCTAAGGCTCCGATGCGGGGTTGGGTATAGTTCCAGCAGCTGCTTACCCTGGGCGGGAAGACGGATTTAGATGTCCAGCCTCCTACTCCCGTGCCCTGATTTTCAGTAGAGGTTTGCTTCTATATATATGTATGTTTTCCCCCCAAGAATGTAAAGGAGGCAGAGATGGAGGTAATCTATGTGAGATTGCCAAGTGACCGTGAGGAGCTGAGCTAGGAAGGGGCTGACAGGCTGCTGTGCAGCAGGAAATGAAGCAGCAGAATTATTTTTCTTTTCCCCCCATCGGACGGGTAATGTATTCTTGTTCCCGAGGGAATTGGTTGGGATACATCTTTCCCTTTCGTTATTTAAGCAATCGAAACATTAAAAAAAAAAAAAAAAAAAAAGGCCTGGCACGTATCTTGTTCTGCAATGGTTGATTTATTCTGTTCAAGAAACTACGGCCAACTAAGAAAAAATTGTTGAAGCAGAGGATACATTTGGTTTGGAAAGGCGTCTTTTAAAATGATTTGAAAATGGGGCTTTCAGTGTTTGTCCTTTGCTGACGTTTCTGCTTTAAGCAAGCGGAAGAGAGGATGGAGGAGAAAGGGGAGGGGCAGGTGGAAGAATAATGGGCGAACTGAGTTACATTATGGATAATACAGTCTCTCTACAACTTCTCTCCTATAAATCTACCTAGCTGTGCTTCAGAGACTTAAGAATTAAGCTCTGGAACGTGTGGTTACAACCCAACCTGGATTTCTTTTCTTTTTTTATTTTTGCCTTTTTAAGGAACTAAAACCTAACTACCCTTAGTTTTTCTCGACATTGTAAGTACTGTAGAATTTTAGTCTTTTTCGTTCTTTTTGTTTATTTGAGGCAGAGTTTTTACCCTGTAGTCCAGGCTGGCCTCCCAACCCAGGATCTTGCTACCTCAGCCTCCCTGGGGTATGGATTGCAGGCGAGCCCCATTCTTCCCTGCTAACAGGATAGTTTTAAGTGTACTTGACAGAGTCAGAACAAACTTGAAAGGTTTGCAAGCCAAACTAACGAGAAACAACAGAACCAAATAGTAAAACCTAGGTGTATCTCCTCTAGTCCTGCTACTGGTCAAAATGTATGGAAAACTCTACTGGTTCTGTGAGTTGTTGGTATCATTGAACTTGGTTCTCACCACCGTGTTAAATTAGTCCTTGTCTTTGTGAAGTAGAATTTGTAGTTATACTAAAAAGGAACTTTAGGCTTACAAAGTAACTTAAGAAAAGGTGCTCTCACTTGTAACTACTGGAATATTTTCTCTACTTATTAGTAATCAAGTTATGATAGCTCTTCAAACTTAAAGTGTCCACATTACAGAAGTCATAACCTTGATTTTCTTCAATTAACAAATTATATATTACTTTCAACTTAAACCAGGGTTTACCTTTTGAGAAAAAGTAGCTTTATTTTTTAAAATTAGGTTAGATTTGCAATAAAGTATTTCTTGATGTTGACCTGTGTAATTTTAGCCTTTTAATGCTGTACTTTACTGTGTTAGGTATTTTCTGTAGAACTTATTTCCCTTAAATTTCAACCAACTTAAACATAATCTGTGAACTCTATATGTGACTCATATTTAGTTAGACTTTGGATGTATGTTACTGTTCAATTCCATGGTATTGTAAAATTATTTTGGATAGAATAAGTATTTTGCAGTGTCCTATTTTAGCATTCAGGTGATATAACATTGTGAACCTTACCATTCATCTGTTTTGGTAAGAATTAGGTTTATGCTTAATGAGGAAGACTCTCAGATCGTCTTTTTTAAAAATTAAGCTTGCTAATCATGGGAATTTGTAATAATAGTCAGTCTTTGGTAAATGGGATTTAATTTATTTACTCAAATATTTTGTGAGGAGTATGTCCAGCAATAAGTTTGACATTTTGAAGTATAAAACGAAGGAAGGGCACAGAAATAGAGGGACAAAGAGTGAACAAACGCAGCAGTGGTTCTCACTAGACACTATATTGAAGATGAACTATAACTTGCAGGGGGGAGTGAGGGAAGGGGTGACATTGTCCAAAAAGAAATGTACTCTTTACCTGACTTACGTAACAGTAACTGTGTATTTCCTTTATAATAACATTTTTTTTAAAGAATAAGAAAACTTTGTTGCTGATTAAACTGGTTGTGACAAGCTCGGTTGAAATACTTGTGCAATAATATAATTTTAGCCAACATGAATATAGCTAGTACATATACAGAGCCTGCTTTTATGTCAAACAAAGGTGAAAAAAAGAAACTGAAAAGGAAAGATTAAAGAAAGTGTCATAAAAATTACTTGTATACTAATAGGGACTACATAGAAGTGGGAAAGAATCCCCCCAAAAGCATAGAGTTAAAACAAGTCAGACATAGTAGGAAACAAGTCATTATTTAAGTATAGCAATAAATAATAAGTGCTAAAAATTATCACTATTTGGAACACCATATTTATTGTGTCAGGAAGTATGTGTGTGTGTGTTTAATTTGCACACATTCTTCTTAAAGTATTGTTCTACATATTTAAAATTGAACAGGTTTTGGACACAAAAGCTACTGAATATGTTTCTGTGCCATATTACCAAGTTATAACTGAACCTTCCTGTTTTTGACCAAAGCCAGTTTCTACCCATCTTTTACTGTAAATTAAATGGACAACACATATATTTCCTTCCTCTGATTCATAAGTTAGAATTGAAGAAGCTTTACAAGTTGTTCATACAGTGTGCCAACCTACTACTATTCCTGATGGGTTTTTTTTTTTTGATCAATCAAGGGGATTTCATTTTGACATGTCAATGGATGCATACAATATATACCTTGACCAGACTCATACCCTTTGTCACTGTTCCTCCTCCTTCTTCCCCTGCTCTAGAGATGTTTTTGAAATGTAGCTTTGTCATGACTCTTTCCCTGAGCATAAGAGAAAGCCCATTTAGGTTAATGAAAAAATTGTTTCTAGAGCATTAGGACTGAGGGCTTGCCAGCAGGCTGGATTCAGCTATCTATGAACTTAAGAGTAAAGGCTGCTGGTGAAGCAAGAAAGGAATTATTTCCTTTAGCTACTCTGGGAAGGAACCCAGGATTAGCATCCTGGTCCTGTCTTTGGGAGTACTGGTAACAGTTCCAGGATCTGTAGAGGAAAGACAAGGGCAGGACCAGAAGTAAGCATAGTCAGGCAATATTGGTCTGACTGTGGGCTGGTCAAGAGTGGGTTCTGTTTTGCTGACTCCAGTAAATCATTGTTACTTGAGGGGCAGTTAAGCTTTTATCTCTGGTTGTTTGCTGCCTAGGATGGAAGTCTGGTTTGTTTTTGTTTTTGTTTTTCAGTAGGATGTAAGCCTGAAAGAATTGTTATTCCTGGAATTTAAGATAAGCTAGTTGGTCCAATTACATTGTTCCTTCAAGAGGAGCAAAGGCATCCCTATTATAAACTTTTGCTTAAATTGAGCTAGTACCTGTTTTTCTGCCCAACTTCTTCCCATTTGTAGCAGTTCTATCGTTAGAATGATTCTTTTTTCACTCAATATATTAGATTCTACTAATACTTCTTTTACTGAAATAAATATTGCAACTTCATATAATGTGGTTTCCTTTGCCTTTTTGTTCTGATCTAGTTTTCTATGTTTTAGTTCTGCAGTTATGGCCTGAATGCAGTGTGTACTGCAACTATCCCTTATTTCTAGCCATACACTTGAGTTTACTGTCTAAAAGTGTGTCTTTTCTACTTCTAAGCAAAAACAATGAGAAAAATGTGTTCTGTGGCTTTCCAACTTAAATTTATGTATTGAGGTGATTTTTTTTTCTTCAGATTTTGTACCTTTGCTTCTCTAATGTGAATCTACTTCCTTATATGTCTGTTCTGGTACTGAGAATTGAACTCGGCCTCACACTCTTGCTCTGCTTTTTTTTTTTTTTTTTGCTCTGCTTTTTTGCTCAAGGGTAAATGTTTTACCCCTTGAGCCATGCCTCCACTTCCTGCTCTTGACTAGAAATAAGAGTTTCATTGACTTTCCTGCTGGACTAGCTTCAAACCTTGATCCTCAGATCTCAGCCTCTCCAGTAACTATGATTACAAGCATGAGCTATCAGTGCCTGTTTGAAAGTAGCCTTTCTTTATGAAATGATATTGTTAGCAAGTAGTAAGCTTCTTTTGATATTGTGAGTTTTTGTTTTGGTTTCATGTTTTTAAGTAATTGATTAAAAGCACCTTATGTTGGTTCCCACTTTGATTTTTGAAAAATTTATCTGGAAGTACTCATTTACCTAGATCTATTCTTTTTTTTTTTTTTTTTTTACCTAGATCTATTCTGTTTAAATTATATTTTGAATTTAAATTATATTTTAAAGCAATGTTTTATCTGTATTCTCTATTATTTTTCATCTTCTTATTCTCTATTATTTTTCATATAGCCACAATGAAATTTGTTAAGATCTTCTTGAATCATGATTCTGTCATCCAAGGG